AAGGAAGGGGAGGGGGTGTGTCTTATTGTTTAGTCCACAGAGTTCTTTAAGCTTACCATACCATTGACTGATGTTGGTCTGCTTCAGGTGTTGTAATTTGGTTGGGTAGTGGGACTTCTTTGCAGTGCGTATTTCGCGGATGACTCGGTTGCGAAGGGACCTGTAGCGGATGTGGTCATTGAGATGAAAGGCTCTGTCTCTCTGTTGCATAAGTCTTTTGATCCGAGGTGTGATCCAGGGCAAGTCAGCTGGGTGAGATCTGACGGACTTCTCGGGGAAGAAGTGGTGGTGAGCTTCCGTGGTGGTGTTGGTATAATTTATCCATTTGGTTTCCACGTCATCCACGCTAAGTACTTCAGTCCAGGGATGGTGAACAATCCACTGCCCAAAGAGGCGTACTGCAGAGTCAGTAATCGGCCTGTAGGTCTTGATGTAGGGTCTCTGTACTTGAGTGGGAGTGGCAGCTGGGGACCAGAGCACTGATAAGTGTGTGCTACACCCGATAGGAGGCATTGGTTGAGGTGGTTGGTACTGGTCCGCTAAGTCAGTTAAGATAAGGTCAAGGGTGTTTTGACCGTGTGTGGGGGAAGGTCACAACTTGTGATAGTGATAGCTGGTCCTGGATATCAGTGGTGTCAATTTCATTTAAATCCCCACATAATACTAACTTGGCACATGGGTACCTAACTCTGAGGTGGTCTGAGGTGGTGATGAGATGATTGATAAGAGTGTCTCTGGTGGGTGATCGAGGCGGATGGTATGCCACACAGATTATAATGGAAGCAGTATTGCGTGGGTGGGCCCGGAGCACGACACGTACCCATAATGCTTCCACATCTGCTGGGACTTGAACATCCAGGCGTGACGGGCGTAGGTCATCTTGACAGAAGAGGGCAACGCCCCCTCCGCGTCTTTGTGAACGAAGGTGATGAAAGAGTTGATATCCCTCAATATGACACGTTTCAGGTACAATTTGCCAAGCCTCACATATGGCAACGACGCTCGCCGCGGTTGACCTGACTGTAGTTGCCAGCTCGTCGAACTTGTTAGCTAGGGAAGTGACGTTGGATAGCAGTAAAGACGGGAGATCATACCATATCCGTGGAACTTCAGTGTGGTGGTATGGTCTGTCAGGGGTGGGTTTCTCCGGTTTCCTAGTGGAGGTTACGGTTCTAATGGGCTTATGTGCATGACGGCCTTGCCTACGGCTCCGCGCGTGGAATATTTTCAGTGACTTGAGTCGCGCGATAACACTGCCATCAGGATAACCGTTCCCACGTTTTAGATGGTACAGAGTGCGTCGGGAGTAAGTGATTGGTGGCCATCGGTTGAAATCTGTTGTGGGCGGACGGAAGTGTTTGTCACTAGCGGCACTTTGAGGGACACTGACACTGGTAGACATCTGTTAATATTTGTCAGTCGTAAAGACCGTGGTCTTTGTCCCTGGTGCTTGGGGTCGCCGACACAGTTTTCACGATATATGTAAACACCGCGGTGGTCCTTGTCACTGGCACTTTAAAGTTGACCGATAAAGTGCCCACTGTCTGACTTTTCCTTGGGGTGCACTATCGAGCACTGTATGGTAATCACTTACTGCACTGATGGCTAGAATGTGTGTGTGTGTGTGTGTGTGTGTGTGTGTGTGTGTGTGTGTGTGTGTGTGTGTGTGTGTCTGTGTGTGTGTGTTGTTTATTTGTTTATTTGTGTGTTTTTGTGTATACTGTATGTGTGTCTGTGTGTGTGTGTTTTTATGTGTCTGTGTATGTATATATGTCTGTCTGTCTGTCTGTACGTACGAACCTCAATAGATGATAAACAATTACTTAAAAAAAATAACAAAAACATATCAATAATATAAATAAATGAACCTTAAACCTCACATATAAATTATCTATCTATTTATCTATCTACATAAACAATCTACATAATATCTATCAACTATCTATATAATTATTCTATCTAATCTAACTTATCCACCTAATCTATCTATGGCCAGCAACGTTGGTGTTAAGGGAGGGTCTTGCGAGCGTTGAGGAGAGAGAGAGAGAGAGAGAGAGAGAGAGAGAGAGAGAGAGAGAGAGAGAGAGAGAGAGAGAGAGAGAGAGAGAGAGAGAGAGAGAGAGAGAGATGGAGAGAGAGAGAGAGATGGAAAATATAAAGAGACCCGAAAGAAGTGGGTTCCCAGTAAACAAGGAGGCAAAGGAAGTTTGGATGAAAGAAGAAGATGAAGAAAGAAGAAGAAAGAAGGCACGAGAAAGATGATGATGAAAGAGGTTAGTTAAGAGATGGGAGAGAGAGATAAGAGAGGTAGGTAGAGATGAAGGAAAGAGAGAGAGGAAAGGGATGAGGAATGAAAGAGGCATAAGAAAGATAAAAGAGAGAAAGGTAGGAACAGATAAACGAAAGGCATAAGAAAATTATATAAAGACAGATGACCTAAAGAGGAGAGAGAGAAGAAGAAGAAGAAGAAAAAACTTGTAGAAGTAAAACAGAAGAAAAGCGAAAGACAAAATAAGAAAGAAGTAATTAAGAACAGAAAATAGAGAAAGCAAACGAGTGACTTCCACAGAGATAAGGAAATAAGTAGAGCTACGTAGAGACAGAAGAAAGACGAGAGATAAATGAGAGTGAGAGAGACAGGAAGAGAGAGAGGGAGGGTCATCAAGGTGTGGGAGGAGCTGGAAAACGTGTCGGAGGTGAAACAGAGGAGGAGGAGGAACGTTTGCTGGTGAAACTGAGGCGCTGCTGGAAGGAGAGAAACGTTTATTGGTGAAACTGAGGCACTGCTGGAAGGAGAGAAACGTTTATTGGTGAAACTGAGGCACTGCTGGAAGGAGAGAAACGTTTATTGGTGAAACTGAGGCACTGCGTTTGGGTGAAACTGAGGCGCTGCTGGAAGGAGAGAAACGTTTATTGGTGAAACTGAGGCACTGCTGGAAGGAGAGAAACGTTTATTGGTGAAACTGAGGCACTGCTGGAAGGAGAGAAACGTTTATTGGTGAAACTGAGGCACTGCTGGGAGGAGAGAAACGTTTATTGGTGAAACTGAGGCACTGTTGGGAGGAGAGGAACGTTTATTGGTGAAACTGAGAGACCGCTTGAAGGAGAGAAACGGAGAACGATAGAGACAGAGATAAAGTTGTAGGGTGAGAGATAAACCAAGAGAAAAAGAAAGAAATATAACTGGATAGATGGATACGTAGAGAGAAAGTAGAGAGTAGAGAAAGAGTACAGAGCAACACTCCATAGAACCGTCATGCCTGCCCGAACTACCTGTGACCCACCTCATAAATCCATAAGATATAGAATAAAGTGAAACTTGTTAAGGCGTCTAACTTGAAGATAAATATAAGAGACCTCATTATTATCAAGATACATGTGACCCATTATTCTGAGGCCTCGTCTTACCCCCCCTCCCCCCCCCTTCCCCCTCTTTCGCATTCTTTCTCTTTTTCTCTCTCACCGACCTTACCCTCGCGGTCTACCAGCCTTCAAGCAACCAGGAGAAAACGAGGATAAGTCAACCAGTTTAGTCTAACCGTTCTCAACCAGCGTTCAGACGAGGCCAACACTAACAGGTGTCGACCAGGGTACAGACGAGACCAAATACTCCCAGGTCTCAACCAGGAATAAACGAGACGAGAAAAACAACACCTCGACTCCGCCAGTTCACTCGTAAATACAAGTTTACGAGTGCATTAAACCCCACTGCAACAGGTGTCCTGAGTCGACACTCAAAATACCGACTGACAGATCTTGGCCAGTCAGGGAGTCCGTAGACCTGTGGAAGTATCCTAAACCAACGCCCGTGTTGGCAGAAAGCGGTCAAACATAAGTCTGGCACTGAATGAACATAACCTTGGGGCATAAGAGATAGTAATAAGTTGCGAAAAACAGGCGAGCGAAGATAAGTTCGTTTGGCGTTAAAGAGATGTAAGATTGCATTATGAAACACAGGTAGTGGTGGTGGTGCTGATAGAACGAAGATGCGTCTGGCGTTCACTGACCATGACACTGCTTCATATTTAGTAAATATTGTTTGCAAAAAGACTGGAAGACTGGCTGGTGAAAGATACGATACGCCAGGCAGTGAGGTAATTCCTGCACTGGCGTTGTTGCTGTCAGGGTACAGGATATAGGCACTCGTTACTGGAAAAGATGGAATGGCAGAGGGAAAGATATTGGGAGAACGAGAGAAGGGGAGGTCTCATGATGGAGATACTGTAATATCCAGCGACGGGAGAGATAATTTGGAGAACATTGGAAGATACGGATGAGGAAGAGAGACAAAAGGAGTAATGGGGAGATAATAGAAAGGAAATGGGGGAATTTGGATGAGATACAGAGAAAAATAGCTATGTGAGAGAGAGAGAGTAGAGAAAGACACGCACACACTCACACACAAGGACAAAGAGAGAGAGAGAGAGAGAGAGAAGCAGAGACCTGTTAGGGAGAAAGGAAACAAGAGGCGGTGAGTGGGAAAAGTAGTGAGAGTTAATGGAGAGAGGCAGGAAATAGTCAGATGGGGAGGAAGTTGTTGGACGGGGGAAAAAACCCGACTGTTGAGAGGGGAATAAAGTCACGGTGAAGAGGGTCAGTGAAATTACAGGTAAAAGGCTGCTTGACATGTATGGAGGAGGAGTCAGGTAGGTGTGGGAAGACAGGTAAGTGTGGAGGTATAGGTAGGGTTAGACAGGTGTGGAAAGCCAGGTAGGAGTGGAGGACTAAGGAGGTGTAGATGTAAGGGGAAGGATCATGCAGATGCGGAAGTAAGGAAGTGCTGAGACCTAACCTAACCTAACCTAATCTAACCTAACCTAAACTACACCTAACTTAATCTAATCCTAACCTAACCTACCCCTAAACCCAGCCAACTCCCAAAAACCTAACCTAACCAAATTCACTGTATTAAATTTAAAAAGATTCGGGTTCGGTGTTGGGTCCGTATCCGGGGGTTGAATGTTATACCCATCTTGACTCACACATAAGCAATGACTCACCTCGACTCAGCACGATGGATGAGGGACCTGAAAAGATGAGAAATATGAGTCATTATAAGTAGAAAAAAATCTGGTTTTACGTACAAAGGAAAAATTAATATCTATTGAGTTTGTTATATTTTGGCTTTATATGAGATAATGTTGTGTGTTTATGTAATGTTTATAGTGAGTGTTTTAAGGTAATGTTATAGTTATATGATGTTTTTATAAACCTTTTATTCAATGTTTATCAACCTATGTGTACCTGTAATCAACCCACGCGTGTAGGTCTTCAGGTGGTGGTGACCTGTCAGGACCTGCTGCGGTATACCAGGTCACCTTAGTAATGGTAATCTGACTTGTACCGTAATTCCAGGTCACCTACCGTGCTACATCAGGTCTCAGTAATAATGACCTGCAGAGCTATATTAGGTCAGTTTAGCAGCAGTAGTGGTAGTAGTTTGACCTCCTGTACAAGATTCAGTGCTGATGCCAACACAGTATTGTCAGCGTTGTGGGTCCTAGAAGCCTTTTATTATGCATGCAGGCAGTGGGGTGAGGTGGGTCATCTATCACCACCACAACACACCAATAATATAACGTTGACTGGAAACGGTACTTCGGAAAATAAGTATTTCGTAAAATAAGTACCTCGTACAATAAGTACCACGTAAAATAAGAACCCTATAAAAATAGATACCCCGTAAAATAAGTGCCCCTGTAAAATAAGTAACCCGTACAATAAGTACCCAGTAATTGAAATACCTCGTAAAATATGTATCCGTAAAATAAGTACTTCGTAAGATAAGTACATCGTCAAATAAGTACCTCGTGATATAACCAAATATTACGTAAAAGAGGTACCTCCTAAACTAACCAAGTATCCTGTTAAAGAAATACCTCCTGACATACAGAACACTGAACATGATTTTGTCTACCAGGTGTCTCGCTACCTGTCTGACGAACCTTATCTCAAGATGTCTCTCACCCACCAGGAAGTGAGAATGATTGTATTGCTAAAGTCTCAATAATCGTTTTTAGTTAAGTGAGACACCCCTTCAAAAACGGGTAGTTATTATATTAAAGCATCTAGGGTGAAATGTGTCGAAGATGTAACAGCTGCAGCTAACACAGCGAGGACAACCAAAGTCAGCGAGCTGTGTCACCCGCTGTCAAGGAAAACTCTACAACTCACCCACACACTCACCATCACCTGGCCAACACCATACGCCGATCGATTTACAACCAAGTCCCCAAACACGGCTGGGTGGGCGGAGGTAAATGGAGTGAGGGGCCTTGCACAAAGTTCTATACCGTGGCTGGGAATCAAACCCAGGACCTCTTGTTTCAGAGGCGAGCGCGTGCACCACTCCACAACTTCAAGTCCAAACTTAATTAATGACTTTTTTTTAAGGACATAAAATTCACCTCCGTGGCAGGTCATGTATACAAATCGGCAGCAGCACCTCCTCAAAGCCATTCCTGAGTGTCCCAGCGGCACAAGGGAGCTGCACCTCCCTCATGCCACCTTCCAAATCACTGCCACAAAGAAGTCGTTCCCTTCCCACAAACTGCCATCGCGCCATCACCCAATATACTACGACCCGTTAAACTCAGCCCAATACCGATGAAAGTTAACAAACGGTCTTCAGTTAATGGGGCGGGAGAGTGGTGGAGCGGGGAGTGGCGGGCCTCTCGGTGGGCGACTAAAGGCATTTACATGGTGGTAAGAGCTCCTGCCAGCCCCACAACGGTGTTCCTGGGTCCTTCTCGCCCCACAACGGTGTTCCTGGGTCCTCCTCGCCCCACCACGGTGTTCCTGGGTCCTCGCCCCACCACGGTGTTCCTACTGGAGTGTGTGTGTTTGTGTGAAAAGATCCTCTACAACGCCACCATGAACCATTATTCTCTTGTAATCAAAAGCTACATTAAGAAGAAACTACAACTATCTTTAAGACACACGTCATCTTCCTCACATCTGCTGACACTGACCCTCGTGTGTGCCTGATGTTCTACCTGTTGGAGCTATGACTCGCAGGTGAGTCACAGAGATCAAGATAAAGACGATCTGTTCAGATTGTTTAATAAATTACTGCTACAGGTTCGGTATGTAAATTTTACTTTTTTAATTTTTGCAAATTATTTCATTTTTATCTTATCGTTTAACTCTCGAAGTTATTTAAAAATGTCGCAAGAAAATTAGCTGTATTTCTCAGTCATATAAAACACATTTCCTGTCATATATGTCTCTCCAGAACCATTGTATTATAGGTAATGTTATTCATGGCATTTAAAAGCGTCCAATCTTAAACCTTCATAATACCCTCAAGGCAATTTTCCTATATTACTTTTTACTCGCCATATCAGTACACAAAAGCTTATGTATAATTTTTCTCTTACATTTATTGACGGTTTTATATATAGTAGTTTTTTCTTCAGTATTATCAAGTACACTGTTAGACGTGAACAAATAAGAGAAACAGAAAAGCTAAGCGTACAGTATAAAGGAAGCTACATGACGCAACTTTTCGTAAAATACCTCCAGACTTTCCGTTTTCCAGTTGTATGGATCTGAACTTCCCGTCAGTGTCAGCAGGTGGTGGTTGTGGTGGTTCCTGCCACAAACGTTTCATTAGTGTATGTTGTCATGGCCTGGAGGAGTGTTGCTTCTGTTCGCTGTGAGCCACAAACTTGTTGCCGAGGCCACTACTGTGATACTACAGGAACCTTCTCAACAATCTTAGACTGTTTGAGACAAGTTGGTGGACACTAACTCGAGCCGCCGCCGCCTATAGTGTCCCCAGCGGTCGTCTCTTTCCCCGCCTTCACCACCTTCCCTGTCGGTATTTCGGGAAAGTGGTTGTGATACTATCTTGCGAAAGAGCCAATTTCGAGGCAACCATTCCTGGGTAACGATGGGCCGAGCCTGACCCGGATATTCGAGGAACAGCCGCCGAGGCAGCAGTTCCCGGAGCAACACATCAACACCGCCAGGCCCGCCCCCACTTACTGTCTCAATACCAGTTTTGAGAGTCATTCCCGGGGCCGTGAGGTGTCAGGCTCCGAACCCCACCTCTCCATCACCTGCTGTTATGCGTCGCCTCCAAGGTTAAAGCTGCAGGAGAACATGTCACTCTCACTAGGCTCCTCCCTCATAGCTTTTAACCATCTTCTACTAACAAGGTGACAAACCAGACGTAACCATGGTAACAAAAGCACTAAACCATGTACTCTTATCTCACTAGGATTAAATGAAAGTGTTGGTTATTTCCTAGAGGTAAGTCTTGGAGTATCTCGCAAGTTTAGTAATTTGTCGAGACGAGATGGGTCACATGCCGTAGTTTACGAAGACCACCCGCGCTATGTTAGGTTTCCTGTCGCCACATTGCTGCTGTAGGTGGAATAACATAGTATCCTGCCAACATTTAATACACTGTGATATTCATTTTCTCATAATTTAAAAAGATGTCAACAAAGTATTAAATATGTCATCTATGAAGGAACCTATTCTTGTTCGCCCCGTACTTCAGTTATCTGTGTGTTACATCTCATGGTCGGGGAATTGGGAAAAAACAATATTTCATCTCTGTACAGAATATTATTTATGTTAAGGTAACAGAAGTCGAGGGGAGGGGGGGGGCACCGTATGAGTGTAAGTCACTAAAGGCTTGCCTGACAAGTTACGGTATAGTGTAGGGGGGGGGGGCAGGGGGCATATTGTACACCTCCCCCCCGTGTGGCCATATCCTCTCCTACTCCCTGTGTGGCCATATCCAAGCCTCCAGACCCTCCCCCCAGGTGTAAACTTGACTACTCCTGTGAGGTGGGAAGGATTTTCTTGCGAGTATTACAGGGGACTTTAGTGCTGTTCCCTCCAGGTAAAGAAGAGCTCAGAGGAGGTGAGTAATAAGCCATGATCCGATTATTTAGACGAGGGAAACTGAGGACTCACGTGGGATACATCGCGTATTTGACGTTACCCAAACATAAACATCTCACACGGTGTTTATTTCACTGATTTATTCCTACCCAGACGATCGCAGGTGTGGTTGTGTCGTCTTGGACATAAAGAACCAACGGTGTCCATAGCTCGAACGTTTTAAGATAATGAAGATTCTGTTTTGATCATTCGTAAACCTAAAGAAGCTATAACATGTGGAGTAGTGAGACGCCGAGATGACTCACTGACTCATGTTGCTCCGAGATGACTCACTGACTCGTGTTACTCCGAGATGACTCACTGACTCATGTTGCTCCGAGATGACTCACTGACTCATGTTGCTCCGAGATGACTCACTGACTCATGTTGCTCTTGGAATTAAGGATTTTAAGACTTGCTAAGCCTCGTATGTGAAATTTGTAATACCTCAGTGATCAAGGTTGAGAACGGATTCCGATTGGCTCTGTTAAACTACGACAGAAACATGTTGACCACGATACCTCCCCACACACACGCACTGACTGTGTTACCGCCCTGCCAACACTCACCAGTCAGTATCCTGTGGTTTTTGTCAGCTGTCAAGAACATCGGCCAACATGCAGCTGTAGTTTTTATGTGGTACTGATGGCGAAGCTAGGTCAGGATATGTTTGAGGCTATGTTAGTTAATAAAGATCATGACAACAGTGCCAATAAAGATCATGACAACAGTGCCAATAAAGATCATGACAACAGTGCCATTACTCACGATCATAACAGTGCCAGTATAGATCCTCGTGAATCTCCCGTCAGGCATATAACACATTACTAGTTTAGTGGCACTTAAAGGTGTCACAGGTGTCTAGCGGCACTGCGGGTCCCGGGAATGCGACAGTGGGGCCAGTGAGATTTGCCGTTATGGATCAGATGGTAGTGGCTGTGGCACCTAGGCCCTCAGCGTGATGGTCGGGTCGAGAGTGGGGCACTTTAACGACCCATCTGCCTGTCTAAGTGGTAGCTGATATGTCAGGAGAGTCTGCGTTCCGTGCTGATGTATTTCATTTAGTTTGCTGACACTTTGCCGACTAACTTATTATTCTGCCTTGGTTCTCTGGGCCTTATTGACCTGC